AGCCACAATGCCTAGCATGTCGCACAACCGCTCACCCAGGGATGGAGGACATGGAGGGCATGGAGGGCATGGATGGAAGAATGATACCGGGATAAACTCCAACAAGGGAGATTTACGGTAAATATGCTGTTTTTTAAAAAAAAGAAGCATTATGCCAATTCTTTTTTCCCCCCAATAAGTGAAAGCTAATTTTTGAATATCTTGCCTAATGTCATTTTGGGTTGAGCAGAGGACCTATGCGCATGCGTGCAGAGCGATCAGGCAGAGATGGTCCAGGCCCTGCACTTAGAGGAGGCTCCTCGTCCAGCCGTGGAAGGAGCAGCTTTAATGATCGAGACACAAGGCCCATGGTGATGAGTAATCAGGTCAGCTTACCTTTTGACTTAGAGCTTAAGTGAATTTCTTATGAATATCCTGTACTAATAGTACAAGATATTCACAGGTCATGCAGGGAATCTCAGGAACCCAAGACAACTGGCTGTCTCCTCCCAACCATGTGTTTAGAACACGAAAGTAAAACACTCATCATCCACGTCAAATCAACAACTACAATCACTAGTGCAGGGACAAAACAAAGGCAGAAGAGAGAAAAGGGGGGGGAAAAAACAAAACAATTGATATATGAAGCCGTGGTCGGGTAAGAGTCCAAGTATTGCAACAAGTGCCCCCAAGATTCGTCCCATTTCTGTTGACATTGCAATTTCTCCATGTAATAATAACTGAAACAAACTCATTAAGCCAAAGTCTGTAGCATGGTGCAGTAGGAGTTTTCCAGCCTTTTTGCCAGTACCATGTCCATCAATAGGGCTGTTTGAGTTTGTGGGGGGAGAGTTAAAGAGTCCCAAAGAGGGCCAGTTCTCTGTCAGGAGAGAGAGCCCTGCGGTAAACCTCAGGAAAAAAGGAAATTCTTGACCAAAATGGGTAGATTAAAGGATAATTCCCAAATAAATGCAACATTGTACCATCATTGGACTTAAGTTTCTCCAGTCTGTGATAAATGTAAGGGCTGAATTTATGTAACATGACCTTAGAGTAATGGAAACGATTAATCTATTTAAACGGAATAAACGTGTGTCGTCTGTGGATATGGGAAAGTGCAGTCCTCCATATTTTCTCAGGCAGCACAGCATTGATTTCCCTCTCCCAAACCTTCTTAATACAGTGAATATGTTCAGAATCCAGCAATGCTGGGGCAGAGGTATGGTTATGGCAAAATGGTGTACATATCTAAATACTAGGACTTTTATAGATATGTTTAACTTGATAAGAATAAGAATCTTTGATAGACAGTGAGGCAATATGGTTTAATTAACAACATAAACTCTAATTTTAGCTAGAAGGGGGGCAGAATTAAGTGAGTCATGGTCTGGATAGTCCCTATGCCAGTGCCCTCACATTAGCTTCCCAATATTTCTGCACCTTAAATTCAAGCAAATGTTCAGGACGTTTAGAACAACCTTAACAGGGCAATCCTGTAAAAATATATATGTCCAGTAAGCATAAGTCTGCTTTAAGCCCAATTTATTGTGTAACCAGAGATTTTACTGCATATGCAGGATATTTATGCAATTTTATGTGATGAAATTGCGGGAATTGCAAAAACTGCGGCTTCATTGCGGGGTTTGCAGCTTTTCGATGATTTTCACGTCGTGTAATTACGTCACAACATAACGTTCCCATGGCAACAGGGGAAAATGGCTGCTCTGTGTGAAGTAAACGCAACATTTTTCAACTTTCTAAGATATATGTGACTTTTTTGCAACGAAAATGTGGGGATTATGAAATCATGCAAGCCCCGCATATTTTGCGCGGAAATCGGCAATTTATGCGGCGAAAGTGCGGTGTATTTGAAAAAATGCGGCCCCCGCATAAATATGTGGATTATGCGATCGCATAATCGCGTTTTTCAGGAGGGACTGGTTGAACGTTGTCCAATTAAAATGGTATGTGGAGTTAAAGTGGAGAGCCCCAATAACCTCTGAATAGTTCTACTTGTTAAATTGCAATGTGAGCGGCAGCCAACGGGGGTGCATTATGTCGGCAGGATCATTTAAAAGGCAACCGTGACTACATTGTGCTTCTGCCCCATTTCTGATACCGTGGCGGCAGAAATTTAACAGCGGCGTGCCGCCGCTCCAAAATCAGCATAGAGGAAACACAAAGATAAGGAACACCCACTTCAGGATTCATTAAGGTAACACGACGTAAATCATCAGCATACATCTTAAGAAGGCATTCTTGCCAGGGGACAGGCAATCTCGCTCTTACACCCCGATATAGACTAAATGGGTCTGATGAAATGTTGTAATTTCCATCCAGTCCACAAAGAGATTCCCAAATCCAAACCTCCTCAAAGTTTCAAATATATAAGGGCATTCAATGGAGCGAGTCAAAAGCCTTCTGAGCATCCAGTGTCAGCTGCTGTGGAGTGTTTTTAGCACCGTCAGAATGGATAATATTTAACAAATGACAAACATTAAAATTAACGATTGAACGTATAATTGTTGCTATATGCTTATTGAATCTGGTGGCCAATAGTTTAGTCAAAATTATATGGTCATAATTAAGCAAGGAGATCGGTCCCCTCTTTCAATAACACATATGTTTGCCTCGTATAGAGAAAGTGGAAGTGTTTGTTTTTGTTATTTGCAGTTGAGTTGTTTATCAGTAGTAAGAGAGGGGTTTAAAATCTCATGAAAATACATTTTGGGTTTTGAACGACAACACAAGCAGTTTGAAGACATCATGTTGAACTGTGGGTATTTTGTAAAAAACAAAAAAAACATTTCCCGTTTTCTGACACTGAATAACTGGTCATGAAAATAAGCACTCTACTAAGTTGCAGAAATGAAAATGTTCTTAGTGTGCCAGTTTTATTGACGTTAGTCTTGCGTCCGCAGCCATTCAGCTCTGGCCGGCAGGTGGTTGTGGAACGTCACAGCAGGGAGCAGGGTCTGAGGAAGGAGTGGCACGGTGGATCAAGCTCCCAGGAAAGGGGCTTCCCTGATAATCGAAGGATGGGAGACAGCAGGGGCAGCATGATGGCTCCTTCAAGGTATACCAAAATTACAAACAAATGAATATGAATATTAAGACCCCCTGTTCTCAACCGTCTTAAATTTGGACTTTGTCTCTCTCTAGTCACTCTTCGTCTGGACTCAACCGAATTGTACAGATCACCAACAACACCATTCCCAGTGGTGGCAACGTGGGCGGGTTCAAGCCCTACAAAGGAACACCGCGGCAGTTCTAACTGCAACCAGAATCTGCCACTTTAAAGCACCTGAACATTTGAAGACTTTTCTGAACTCTTTATTTTTAGGATATCAACTGGTTTTAGGTGGCACACTTGTAGCCACAAGGTTGATAACACTATTTTATTTCGTATAGACAAGTGTTTACCTCAGTGTAGGGTTTTCCTGACAGTTCCGCTGTTACCATTAAGCAACCCTGCGCACATGTTTTACTTATATTTAGGAAGATATTGTACAGCCCTAGGTCTTTGTAAGTTTTCAAGTGATGTTACCAACTTTCCCCTAAGATTGAGTGTTGTATGTACATTTTCAATAGCCCAGTGTCACACTCAGTTTTCCAGTGTAATATGTCTAATTTTAGTGTATTATAGAGCTCAAAGTGACAGGGATCATTCACTCATTTGAATGTTTCTCTGTGAGGAAACAGATGACAAAGGACTAATTATTTTGAAAAGTCATACTTGGTGTGGATGTCCTGTTTTTGTAAAAAGTGGTTTGAATTTGCTAAAACAGTATCAAACTGTAAACTAGCCTGCATTGTAGCAAAATACCTCTTACAGACTGAGGTTAATTACATACAGGCCCGTGTCTCTGAAATAAAATTACTTTTAAGTCTGTTTCTGCAGGGCAGTCAATGGTGTCAGAGTCCCTCAAAGGACCATAAACAGATTGTTTTTATATTTCCAAATTTGATTACGCCTGGCAGTCAAATAATGACTCAAATTCTGGCAGTTTTCACTCAGTTTGGAGCCTGTAGTATCAATTTGAAGACTTGATATTAGGACAGGTTTTGTCCGTCATTTAACCCTTTGGTACAAGCTGGAAGTGCTTTGACAGCAACTGAAGTATTGAGTTTGAAAAAAACTGGTACTGACCTGCACTTTGTCACCTATCTGACTAAAACATCACCTTAGACTTCCATATTGCTTCCTCAGTCATTTCAGGTTTATTTATTATGTCATTTAAGAGCTGTTTTTGTTTGTTTTTTTTGGGACCAAGACATCCGGGTCTGCACTGCATGTATTTAGACATTGACACACTCTTTACTGGCAACACCTGTCAGAACTGGTTGATAAAGCTTGATTAAAATACAGAAACTGATAAGCAAAATGATTTGTGCTGATTGTCACTGTAGCCCCACTGCCTCTCCACTTATGGGCAGTTTAACTTCGTCACCTGAGGTAAAAAAAAATTGTAGTTTGGACCCCCATCTACCCCATCTCCTGTGTATGTACGCTGTTTATTTCCAAGCTTCCGTCTAGTACTGTACACACTGCTGTACTTGTCAGCTTCATTATTAGTCCAGAGAGCCCTATACTGCAGTAACCCTCCCCGTTGTGTGTGTCATTCATTCTATGGTAATTTGATTAAACATAACTTAGGAATATGTACCATGTGTGCATAATGTTAACATGAACAATTAAAGTCTAAGAAGGCACCTTTTTATAAAACACTGCCATAGGTTTAGGTTACAGTGCAGAACCACTTTATTGTACTTTAATGGTGCAAATTAATTAAAATAATAAAACAAATGAGAGTAAATGTGAGGGGCTTTTGAAGGGTCTGGAGAGCTGTCTTGGATTTTTAGATTCTCTTCATCTTTCCTGCTGATTCCTCCGAGGTCTGGCGTCACTGGGGGGTTTATTTGAGCGTCCATCTTCAGGAGAGTTCAGTCAGTCCACATGCTCAGACAGGATGTTCTTCAAAGTGATGAGGGGCTCATTACAAACGACAACAAGGCATCTATTGATCTTAGTCTTTTATTATCCTGGTACTTCTAATCAGGTTGAATGTCCCTCGTCTATAAGGCATTTTGTTATATATATATATATATATATATATCACCAGATACATTATGTGACTGTAATGTGAAAGGCTACATACATTATTTGGTCATTTATGTAAATAGATGAACATTGAAATCAACACAAATGAGTAACCTTCCTTATTCACAAACGCCTTCCTTTCGCTTGTATGTTTTATGTGAACTATAAACACAATGGGCCATACAGTGGAAATGATATCCTTGGGGTAGTTACTAAAATTTTTACTCTGCATAACTTTTCAGTCCACAATATACATGCACCACAAAGTAAAATCTGGGAGTTTGATATTGCGTTCAAGAATATGTCTCCCTTTAGATTGTTCAGCAGTCTGGATGTGTGTCTCATACAATAAGAATGAACATTTCCCTCTGCTACATAGATGACAACACTCAAGCCTTATAAAGCAGCCTTTTTTCCCTGTTTTGTTGTAAAAGTCTGAGCATATTTGAAAAGTTGTGTAGTTAAATGGACTGGAAAAATAACTACCTGAATTAGGGGTGCACCTACACCATTTTTTTGCTGATTGGTTCGAGTACCAGTGTTTTCTTCAGTACTTCGTAGACGAACGCGTCTTAGTCGTTAGACAATTCGACAGCCATCCATCTGTTGTTGTAATTCATTCCTTCCTCATCGTCTGTGAGCCGTGTCCTGGTACTCAGGCCTTTGTACTGGTATAGGTGTACCGCTAATCTGAATATATCAAATTGCAGCAAGTTCTATTGACGTGGTACTATTTTTTAACAAATGTACTCGTTCCTTTTAAGCCAAAACGTTTAAACAGCCCTTTCATACTTTTACAAATTAATATTATTCAGCTGGCTTAAGCTCCCGCTACCACCTTCAGATAATTATTTTGGCCATTATTCAGTTTTTTTTTTTTTTTTTTTTTTTAAAGGTACCCAGAGAACAATAGCACTCTTGCACAATTTATGTTCTGTATAAAATGAGGTATGTTTCTCTTCTGTTAGTGCATATCAATGTAACAGTGCAAAACCAAATTACGACAACAATTTGTTCAACAACCACCTTGTCAAAACACAAATTTTACAGCATTTACCCCACCATCACTTTTACAAGGCATACAAGAAACCACTTTGAGACACTGAACACACAATATCCTTCTGATCGATTCATTTTAGAAACTAGGGGGAAACAAACACATTACAACAAAAAATATCAAATTCTGGTAATAATGACTAGGGATAGCAAGCTAATGCACAGTAGTAAATCTGAAATAATGATAAAAAAATGTGTGCCATGTGTCACTCTGCCATCTTTTCACTCATACAAACACCAACCAACATAAAATGTTCCATATCAACTCAAAACTGCCCTAAGTGAAGTTAAATTTTTTTAAACTTCCACTGGAATGTTTAATCAGCATGTTCACTTGACGGGCCAATGAATGAGTGAAACTCACAGAAAGACAGACAAAAAAACAAAACAAAAATGTTGCCAGAATGCCTCCCGCCTCTCCCTTCTTGCTTTCACCTTATGTTTATGTTACTTATTTAAGCTGCATGGGGGAAAAACTGCTAAGGAGTCAATGAAATGTGTACATAATTAACAATATTCCTTAACCCTGTGCAAGGAGGTTTTATTTTTCATCAGGTAGTCCAAGTTAACACGAGAAGAGCAGCTTAAGTCGTTGTTTGTTTGAGTGAGATGTTCAACAATGAGTGTCTTAAATAATATAGTGTTAAGTTCTTCAAAGTGTCAACATAGTTGTGTGTACACATACACAAGATACTTAAAGTTGTGACTGAAAAAGTGACTACAGGCCGAGGAACTGTGCCGATACGTAGCAGACACCCGAGGATATGTCCCTTCAGAAAAAGCCTGAGAGTATTTCTGATGTTCATGTGGAAAAAAAATGCATGGATTGTCTCATTCAGGATAATACGCCTGTTTCCTTTTGTCCTATAAATTATGTTGAAATGTTGTAAGGCGTTATATATATATATACATATATATACAAAACATAGCCTTGTTAGGGCCAAACAAACATGGAGCTTAAGACTCCGGCCATCACATGAAGCCCATAAGAGAGGGGTTTCCACACAGTAGATAGCCCTCTGCCTCGATGTAATCGTCCTGTCCTAATGACCACTTTACAAGCACTGCAAAAGACTTCCCATGACAACTGTCTCCCTCAGTCTGTAACAGAAGGCTTGAGTCAAGGCATCCAATTGGAATGTATAGATAGAAAAAGTTTCTCAGGAGGCAGTCCCATGGTACAATAATGGCACAGACCACTAGCTAAATTCCATTATAAGAATGCATTAGATAAATATGTACATCATGTGTTTGCACGCTCAATGCTGAAGTGAAATGCACACGAGTTAAAAAGTGATACCAAAGAATTGCAGTATTCAGAGTGCATGTCCTACGCCACCCAGGACCGCTCAATTTGTGAACTTTAGGCTTTATTTTCCACAGGTAACAGATGAATTAACGTCTCTCTGATCCTACAGAAGGGCTAATGTAACTTTCTACGGCATGACACAAGTCCGGTTCCCAACATTGTAACTGGGAGTGGAAACATCACAGATTTCGGGGTTTGGATTCATGTTTGTGGAAAAGAAGTAGTACATGTTCACAAATAATAATTGAACTTTCCTAGTTTAAAGAAATATCACATGCAACTTACGGAATTCTGTGGTATTTCTTTTCAAAACCTGGCTGCAGTGGAACTTCTACATCCAGAAACTAACGGAGGAGGTTGCACGCACACTGCATCTCTTTAAGACGTTGCCAGAAGAGACAATGAGAAAGAAAAAGGGCCATACACTCAAAACCGGGTGCCATCTAACACGAATCTAGTCTGACAAAAGCTAGTTGTGTCTTACACACAAACATCAGATTCAGACAAATTCCTCAGTTAAAATCCGCAACGTTATTCTCAGTTTGACTGTCCAAACGTAGTTTTTGTGAAACAGAATCACAACATAAAAGACATTAAATGTCCCAAATTTGTAGCTTAACTAATACAGTGTAAAAGTTTTGGCTATTTCCAAATTGAAACTTGTTACATAAAGCGATGCTCAGTTAATGAGACATGTATACCATACGCCATTATACCACGTAGCACACGTGTACTGTACATACCATACACATGAAAACAGACACACATTCACATTCAGACAGAGCAGAATACAACACTGCCATACTCTGGTAAGGCAAAATCTGAACAGGGCAAGCTGTGATGAGTATTGTTAGGTAGCTACAGTATCTGGCAGCTATCTGGCATTATTTAACCCTTCAGTACATAGTGTTTCAGAGGGGACACAAATAGTGTTACACTGATTTCCAACAGGCAATATTATGAGAAAATCCCTCTCAGCATACAGACAAAAATAAAACCTCTCCCAAAAGCTACCTTGTACACAGATACATAAATAAAATGTAAATCTTGGCATCTAACTTAACAAACTCAATGAAAACCAAAAAAAATGGGTCTGTCTATATACGTTTTGTAAATAATGATACGTACAAAAAAAAGCTTATAATCTGCAATAATGAAAAATATGAATGAAATGAATGGTTTCTTTTTTGGAAAAGAACATGGCGAGAGGGTGACGGTTTGTTTCTTCAGATTATGTCTTTTGCTATAAAACATACCACCCCGAATAAACTAGACCCCACATCACAAATATAGTGCACTGTGCAACTTGTAACAAAGTTTGGCCGACTCTATGAAAGATACGGGGTAGTTGTCGTTGTAGTGTCCCTTCCTCTGATGTCCAGGTTCCACTGAGGAAAGAGGATAGCAGGCACCAGTGGTTTGGGAACAGCAAATCCTCCGTTAGTCTCGTCGCGCCTTGCCTTAAACGTCTCCTTCCCTTGTTTGTCATCAAGTGGGGGCTGCGCGATGTCCGTCCAGTCCATGGAGAAACAAATGCTGTCCCCTTTCTCACAGATAAGCAAATGCACAAAACACTCTCTCTCTCACACACACACACACACACACACACACACACACACACACACACACACACACACACACACACACACACACACACACACACAGACACGCTGTATGTTACAAAATAACACATTTGTCTTTATCCTTCGATTCTTTCTTGGCTTTGCGCTCCCCGCTAGAGGACTGTTTTCCCGGGCTTGGTGTGGTTCCGGCTGCCGCCGCCGTCCCAGCACCACCGGCTGCTGCTCCGCCTGCTCCTGCACCTCCTCTGTCTGCCTCGTCTCCGTCTGCGGGCTCATGCTGGCCTTGCTGCACAAACAGGACCGAAAATTCATAGATATGTATTTTACAAGCAAAGTGACTTATTGCGCCGAAGTGTAAATTAATTATGTATTAGGTCATGTTTGAATAAATGTAGCAGCATACCTTACATTATATAACATAACCTTGTAACTCCTTACAAATTCAGGCTCTATCATTCATTTAGTTTACACTTTTATTTTTATTTATTAAAAATTAATTTGTTGAAAAAAATAATGGTAAGAACATGTCAGAAAAGCTAAAAAGACCACAAAGCTTCTTTAGAAAGTGCACTACCACACTGGTTCCAAGCAGCCTGTGTGTGTGTATAAAATAAAAAGAGTGAAAAGAACAATTTCTCCAATAGGGGATTAATAAAGTATATATCTTCTTCTTATATAATTTATAGAAATCATTTATTGAGATATTGACTGTATATCTCACATATCTGAAACAAGGAGACTGTCACAAGCACGTAAGCAGTTCAGGGACAACGCCTGTGTCTTGACCTCACACTGAAGGGTGGCAGCATTCATACTCAATTCCTCCTTTATAGCTCAAACTGTCTGATGCAGACATCCATCTGTTTACAAAATGCAACATCTCCCCTCTATGCTACAATAAATGTTCTGTATCTGTTCAAAGTCATACGTCTCCTCCCTCTCCCACCTGCTCCCATCTCCCTCAACCCCTCCCTCTTCACCTGCGCTGCTGCTGCAGCTGCTGCAGCCGCCTGCTCCTGCTCTTGCTCCTGGTAGTACTGGGAGGCTCGTCGGTCCTCCTCCTCCTGAAGCTTTTTTGCCAGCTCTAGGTCACTGATGCCCTCTGGGAGTTGCTCCCACTGTAGGTCCTGACTTTGCTGCTCCTGCTGCAGTGACAGTGCCATCAGATAGTCCTGACATGAACACGCACAAAGAGAGAGAAAGACTTGATGATTTATGAGCGAAGCTGTCAATGTGACGCTTAAGTATATATACTGTGCTCTGATAGCCTATACACGAACCAATCCACGCACAAGCACAGCCGCAATCCACAACCACAGCTCCTTACTTATTCACTGACCCATTTGTGTCTGTCCTCATTCATTTCCATTTGTAGCACTATCTTCATTATTCTTTTGTTGTAATTAGTAGTGCTGCATAAAGGTCCTTTATGCTGGTGTTATCCATTGTATTATATTCAGTATCTTCTGTTATGTTACGTACTTTGTTACTGCAAAGACCCAATTTCCCCCCTGGGATCATTACAAGTTTTCTCCAATCTAACTGAACTGATTATGAGTGCAGAAAATTGCCTGTATAGATTTTTTTTTTTTTTTCACACCAAACCTAATTTGAAGATAAGGAGGGCTGAGCCTGAGTAAGCAAGTAGAATAAAAAGTAATAGCCCCCATGTTCTTGTCTAGTCTGTGTGTGTGGGAGCACACAATTTGTCAGCAAGCTCTGTGTCGGGACCATTTTGGCTGAGCAGAAAGCTGTGAAACCAGTATAAATGCCTGGGGGACATAAACCCAGTGCACTGTGGGCCAGTGTGGAGACAGCAAAGCATGGACGAAGGGGGCTGAGAGGTGGAGGTGCCATGCAGTGCTGCCATGTGCTTTTTAGGTTGTAGTGTGTGTCTAAAAACCTGGTATTGGGAGCTATAACACATCTATTATTGAGTTACTTTTTTTTGCCTGGGATGGTATACAGATGATTTTTTTCCCACTGCTGTTTCCATGGATTCAATGTTGTGTGTTTTATTTCCTTTTTTCTCTCATTTCTGTACACAAACTTAAAACCAGGTCACCCTGAGGGATGTACAGTCAAGACCAGTATGTCATTACTGGTCTTGTATTCTGTCTTGAGTTTTGTAGCACACTGGTAGTGTGAAAAGCACATCATGATTAAGCACATCATGGTTTTTGGAGTGGGTAATTGCTGGTTCTGCTAGTCTTGCCTGCATCAGTGCTCAGACCTGGTCTATCTGATCCTGCTGGCCTCTGTACACAGTCTCTGGATCAGAAGGAGGCCGCAACCGGAATTCAGAATCACAGAAGTTGCCGTCTCCGTCGACGTTGTGCAGACTCTCCCAGACGACCTTCTCCTCTGTCAGGAAACCCTGGTCTGTAACCAGGAGGTACAGCTGGCCCTAGGAAACCCCATACACACATCAGATTAGTGTCACAGTATATACAAATATACATACATATTCTAGTGTTAGTACACCCGATCTGTATATGGTTGTTTATCAGGTGTGATTGTACACACATAGGTCTGCAGCTGAGAACTTGCTTGTCATGATTCTTTGCCTAAGGGTTATAGGTGATACACACAGCTTTGCTTACATTGGCAACTACAGAGTACTATTCAAAATAAAAGTAAGCAAGCTCCACTTCCCCTCCTGTAGATAACAGGAAAGGTCTGTTCGGGCTGCAGTGATATGGCGGGCCAGCTGTGGGCAGGGGGCTGTTAGAGGTGGGATGCAGACGTGTATGTAATGAATGGGACCTCTCAATGTTGTATATCAATGACACATAAATACGTAGCTGTCGTCAGTTTGAGTATAATACTGAGGAGCTTTTGTGTGTAGTAGATGGTAACACTTGATAGTAAGTTCTTTTTCTTTATTTACTGCTAATAATAGTGACAAATGTTGAAGCACAGTGAAATATGACTAAAAGGCTTTATATAAAAATCAACTATTCATCAAAAAATAAGTAAGAATTTGGAGCATTTCTTACTGAATAGCGCACAGTGAAGCATTTAATTAAAGCGATATCTGCTGATATCTGTATGAACATTAGCAGTAAAACGGAAAGAAATCTGCCTGTACGTGGTGGAGACTTCTGTCAAAATACCTATTCAAATATTACACACAGGAAAAAGTAATTGTTCCTGTAAAAGTAAAGGGCTTCAAAGCATTTGTCATTCACTGGAGGGACAGTTTATAACATATCCTGACCTATATAGGTTGCTGCAATTTCAACAGTGAGCTCCATGACAGATGTTTCTCAATCTAACTCATACAAATAATGCCAACAGTTACTGTACTATTACACTACTACTGAAGTACTTTCTTTTAGTGTTTACCTTGTATTTGATCATGGTGCTGAAGTGGTTATTCCTGAAAAATACACAGAGCTCTCCCTCCTGTACAGTGGATGTGAGCTCACATAAGCCATGGTACGTCAGTTGAGTGGCTGTGCTGTTCAGGAACTGCTCTGCCACGAGGCCTAGGTCCAGAGAAGAAACATACAGGAATACAAACAAGGAGAGACTGAATTCACTGTTTATTAGCAAATGTAGAAACATGGACCCATGATGAGTCTTATATATTTCTTTTTATTGAATCTAGTCCCTGTATTTTTCAGAATATACAGACTGATTTAAAATTGACTTTTTAATTGAGTGATGGTGCTTTTATTTCGATAAGCTTCACCTCTGAGTAACTACAGTCGTTCTGAAGATAATCAATTATTTAGCACAGGAAAGTGCAAGCATAACTTCCATTTGTTACTTGTAAATCAACTCTTTTTGATTTACAAATGTTTTCATCGTGAGACCACAAACTACTGCATGAGCAATTAAAAATCAAGCTATCCTTTAACTATCTAACATAGGTCACTATTTGGAAACCACTGCTTTAATGTCCATAGCCGTTATCTGAATATTCAATTGACTCCATGCTGCTGGAAGTGGTCACATTTACTATAGTGGACTCAATATAGGCTGAGAGGCAGATGGCGAGAGACATCTGTAAGACAGAACAGCTTTCAATTTGGAGCAAACACACATGAACTCAGAGAGATACTCAAACAGACAGAAAGATAGTCTACACTAGAATGAGCCACAACATTTAGAGACGGACAGAAAATAAAATAACTACTAAAATACTGAATACTTGCTATTAAATGTTTAACCGCATTAAAGCATGAGTAGTAGTAGTAGTAGTTTTCTCAGAATTATATCAGTCTATTTAAAGTGGCTGCAAATTCATCTCTTCAGGCGGTGATGGGTAGCGTCATCATCAAACAACTTAAATCAGTCATCTCTGTGCTACAAATGCAGAAATACAGTAGAAAGGAGTGAATCTCCTGTATCAATTCAACTGAGGCCTCTATGTGTTGACTTGGCAACAGCCCAGCAGACAACTACTCAGGAAGCTCAGTGTTGAATGAGCAAATATTTTTAGTGGAGAAGTTACTGACAGCTGGTAAGAAAACTGTGCGCTGTGGAAGTAGGTCATTGTATGAGTAGCCACATATATGTCCTGGTTTAAATTCAACGTAGTCTTATGTGCAGTATGCAAGTATGTACCAGTCAGCACAGTACACATATCTCATGTAATGAATGTGCCATTGAATTAATATTGTACTTGTGCCACTAGATATATGGATGACTTTGGTTCTTTTTCTCCACCTCTAAGTACACAAGAGGGGGGAGAGAAGAGATGAGGGGAGACAGGAAGGGAGTCAGGTAGGTCAGAAAGTAGAGAGAGTGAAGTGAGAGCACTCACCTTCCCCTGCCAGCTCGCTGTTGTCTGACTGTTTGCAGGATATTATCTTCTCTACCAGCTGGTTGTAGCTGCAGTTACCCACTGCCTTGACAATGTCATGCATCTGCAAACAAAGATAAAAACTGTAGGAAAGAACATTCACCAGGCTTTGTTGCTGTTTTACTAAAAAAAACACAGCAGATTCATACAAAATGTATAATGGAGAGGAACATTCTGGTGACAAGGGGTCCATACTGAAACTACAATCACTGTGTAAATGTTTTGGTACAGTTCAACTGAACTCTGGTGAATTTACTTGTTAAGTATCTTTATTTAGGTTGGCGTGAACGCTGTCATTCAAACACTCAATGAAACAACTGCACAAAGAGCACCTTAAAATGGGGTGCTTCCAAGAGAACTATGGAGCTGTTTATGGTGGGAATGCAAACCAGACCAACCACAGGACACTGTAGTGCTAGATGTGAATTTAAAACCTAGACTGCTACTAACCCATCAAGGAAGTGATGTGTAATCTCGTACTGTTTTTGATGACATTAAATGAGGTAAGTTTCAATCATGACTAATAATGCTCATAACCACCTATTTATTTCTAAGAACTAGATAAGATAAATAAACCCATCAGGTGCAATAACGTTCAGTCACCAGAATAGACATAGTCTGCAGTGTTTTTGCTTTTCCCCTGTGGGTGCATGCAGCACTGATGATACAGGATAACAGTCACAAAAGAAATAGTTACCTGTGCACATGACATTATAATTACATCTCTTGGTTTGTTTGTAACAAATAAGGGTTAATGGAAAACAGACAAAAGCTAGACAGCAACAATGAACCAAACTACACACGTGAAAGCGACCACAGACATTTGAAAGAGACGTGTTGATGATAGACGGATGTTGGTTTCAGGGAGGTGAAGAGAAACAGCAGTGATGATGAGTAAGGTTCATTTTACCTGGGGGTCAACCAGCCAGCCGTGGTAGAGAGGGATGTCCAGCAGATCAAACACAATGCATTCTGGGGTGTACTCGAAGACTCGCACCCCTGTGAACTTCACATTCACGTCCAGGCCTGTCTGCAGCTTGTGCAGCACTGCCATAGCATCACTCATGTTCTATGCGACAAGGAGAACAACAGTTCAGATTTTATTTTAAAAAAAACGTGTGATAATGCAGCAGAGGGATTTAACAATGTGAGGTTTACTCAAGTTCTCAAAACTGCTGTTGGCTTGTGTACTGTGCACAACAGTATACAGAACCAAAGGCTGTGTCCAACCCAGCTGTTTTCATGCGCTGTGAGCTGTCTTTATCTGTTACATTATTCCTGGCTGTCTGCAGCATAGCTAGAGCTATCAGGGATTGATTTTTATATCTTTACAAGAAACCATTAGCTGCCATTCATTCCTGGAAGATAAAAAAAATACTTCTACACACTCACACCTTTAGTTTTGTTAAATATTTCTGCTTCATAGTTTCTCCAGTGTTTTCATATTTATTGCACTTATTAGGTTTTGTTCTGCTTACTGTCAGTCAATCTTCAACCACAGGAAGAAATGGAAGTGTCTGCCAGGAAACCATTTGATATTACATTTATCTGTAAGCTCTCAGGCTCATCATTGTGAGACATGATATTTCCCTTTGATAATATTACCAAGGGAGTGGACAAAATATCAGGAACACTTGATAATATAGTGCACTCCAATGGCCCTGCAAGTAACACTATCTGTATTTGGGCCTTTATTTTCGATAGTAGACAGAGACATGGCCCACAAGGTCACCACTAAAAATGCTACATTTTTGGTACAGTCGTGTGATTTAATTCTGGGGCCATTTTATGGGTGTAATATTATATTATATGTTTTTTCCACTGAAATCACAGCCTGTTTCCTAATACTTTCTCAGGGCTCAACAAACCACTGCAGAGCTCATCCTACAGCTTAGATCTCACCAATACCCCCACCGATGGCCAGAATTAGTTAAGAAGATCAGTAGAGCTCCTCAACAGAACAATTATAAGTTCATGTAAAATGGATGGGTAACACATTTTATTTATTTAGTAGTAGTATCAATTTAAATGACTTTAACTGTGTTAACTGTCTTTATGTCTAGATTATGGGAGATGAGTCACTGTAGCAGAAGATAAGCATTGACGTAATTATTAATAAATTACACACACACACACACGCACACGCACACACACACACACACACACACACACACACACACACACAATGAACGGGCCAAGTTGTGATACCAGGAGGAAAATACAGGAATCTTCCAGGCCATCACAATCTACAGAGCCCCATGCTATGTACCAGACAGACAGGGTTCTGTGGATAATGAAATGTAGACAGAAATCAATCTACCTGGTGTATATACGGTATCTATCACACCAGGGAAGAGTAACGTTACACAAAATAAAGCCTGAAGGCATGAAGATGCCCGGGGCAGGTTCACCATCTTATCTTGATACTTTTACAGCAAAACCCAGAGCCCCCCTCAAACAGAGAACATAAAGTGGTGTAAAAAAAGATTTGATTCAGCAAAACCATCCTGAAAAACTCCTGGACCTATTTTAAAACAGGAGCCTGGTCGAAATAGTAGAAAACTGTGTGCTTCCTTTGTTAATAATACACAGACCCTGGGTAAGTATTGCTTAACCTCTCTTTGGCCTTCAGCCGTCTGCAAAGAACTTCAGCCTAAATTCTTTGTGAACCTCTGCAGTCCACTCTGTAACAGCTCTTTACCGCCTTACTGGGGTTTTCTACGTGAATGCACAGTGGCAGAGGCTGACTGGCTCTTGAGACGAAGAATAGCATCAGTGGTACCAATTCCAGTGTTTCATTAAAACAAATCTACCACTAGGTTCCTGTGGGTTTTAATTGGATTGGTTTTAATTGGATTTGTCTTCTCTGGTGTTCATGGGGCCGAAACTGAGAAACCACGCCTTGCAACCTTTTTGCTTTTTACAAGAAAACATCAGAACTTTGTAATCTGAGCAAGTAAAATCAGGACTAGGTAATATTCAACTGGCTGTTAATTGTACAGTTGGTGGTTTTATCTTCTTCTGTCCATATTCCATATCCAATGTGTGTGCGTGTGTGTGTGTGTGTGTGTGTGTGTGTGTGTAAAACTGATTTTATTGGTCAAATGTGAAAATGAAACAGAAACCGGATTTTAAGTCTATATCTAACATATCAGCACACTTTGCTTTGTCGCAATTTTTAAGAAATAATGTTGTAATTATCAGAATCAGACATACTTTAATAATCCTGTGGGGAAATTACTTATAGGGTTTCCTTTGCTTTGCAAAATGCGCTGGCATACATCTTGCATTAATCTAAAAGTCTCAGGTAGCAGAAGAAAAGACTGCCAAGAATATACATATACGTACATAGAAAGAATTGTTTTTATTTTGAATCATTGTCTTAAAGGTTGAAGGGAGTTAACCGTCTGTGACAATCATTCATCCTTAAATTATGAGTGAGTATTTTTATCAGCAGACCAACCTTTTACTGCGCTGTGTGAACATTCTAGAAAATACTTTATGCACACATCACATCATATGTATGCCATATAAGTCACATGTATGCACACACCTGAGAACCCATCAGACTAAATTATTGCATTCAGCCTCAGAGCAATGTTTCCCAGCTGGCTCTAAACCTCTGCTACCATTTACCTCTGAGATCAAGATAAGCCTTGCAGCTGAGCCCTACAACTCTATTATGAGTGTGTAGTCGTAAGTGATTTCCATTTGATTTCAACTCTTTCACAATAAACTTAAATTACCCAAACACTTTATACATACCAGAATAAGAAACAGGAGTCTACAAAACAGATTTATTTGTAGTTTACCGCTTTTGAAACAGGGTTGGATGATAATTCAATGTCACTATCTCATCGACTTTCAGGGTGATCGTATTGGAATGATATCATCATATTGTTTAATTATCTTACGTCTGTTGTCCAAAATAATAATTCTAAGCAAATAAAACCTTTAGTTACAGAAGTGTTTATTTTATAAGTATGCAGAGTTTTGTCTTGTGTAAATTATAATAATGGAACACAGTCCAATGCACTGCAATTCAATTAGGTTATTTCATACATTCATACAGTTGCCATATTGTGCCGTGGACATTTTTAACATATTCTTACAAATATAATTTCAATTACAGTAAGTCACACAACTCCCTTTTACACACTATAGGTCAAATTGTCAAAAAACATTTTTTGTACTGTATTTCTGTGAAAGTGAATCTTTTTTTTTTCCCATAATGTATTGCAATCCTTTGGTGTGTGTTTATCTTATGAAATGTCACATCCAACATTTTTCAACTGAACTGTCTAAAAGGCTTCTAAATGAATATTTTTTTATGTCCAGTAAGGAGTATAAAGGCGTCAATTGTCACATAATCAATCATTTTTAAATGAATTTGTTGACTCAGTTTACAGTAGAGGTACTGTTACGTCCCATGAACACTGAGCTACTCCAGCTTTCACGCTTGGTGCGAGCAGTGAGGTGAAAAGCCTTCAGCTGGCCCATCTGAGAGTGTGGATTAGGAAGATTATGAGCAGCAGTGATGGCAGGATTAGCAGGGCTGTGTAATGGACCACATCTCTTCACTTTAGGGCAGAAGGCTCCAACAGCAGATGAGCGCTTGGAGATCAGATGATTAGCACTGCATCACTCACATTCATCTGTGCTTGTGTTGGATGCATTTCCACAGTATAACATTAGCACAGAACTCTGCTGAGGCTTTTCAGTATTTTTACTTTTACTCTTCAGCGTAAGTGTCTCTGCTTCCCTCTCTCTCTCTGTTGACTTTCAGCCTAAATTTACCTAATAACAAAATCCTGAGTAATTAACAGGTGGTTGACAGAGTATAGCATAATAGTGCCAAGATGAGAGATTTGGTTCCCACAAAGCTTTAAATTCTTAAGTTGAGACAATTGACAATGTGTGTGTAGCAGTTAAAACATGCAGCCAAGAAATCAAAATATAAAGAAACCTCACTCTATTCAAAATGTGGAAATATAAAAAATATACTGGAATGATCCGTTTCCCCCATGTTGCATTTAAAACCAAGACCTTTCTGCCAAGCAACACAATTGAGCAACCGTTCTTTGTTGAGAACTACATACCAATCTTGTGCCACTGCTAAATAAAAACCATTTCAAGGAATACTTGTCTGATATTTGCCATGTGCACGCATGTTGAGTCTATTTGCAGTCTCTAAAACTTTCTAAAAATACAGATCTATAAATCTAAAAAAACAACATTATCAATCACTGGAGGACAGACGTAACCCATTACATAATGCCATGACCCATCAGTGGGAGCTGTAAATAATGAGCGTTTTTTTAAGACTGTGATGTCCCATAATGTGACTCATACTTTTATGAATCCAGGCACACATCAGCAGCTGTCACTGCTCTACATTTTTGTTGGATTACTCATCAAACTAGTCTCATGCTTCTGTTTGTAAACCCCATTTACATACATAAAACACACACACACACACACACACACACACACACACACACACACACACACACACACACACACACACACACACACACACACACCTTTCAATATAATGCAGTCCAATACAGAAACACCACTAACTCTGTTGTCTGCAGAGGTGATTTAACTCCTTTCTAACGTAGTTACGGGTGTCTACCAAACAGATATGTATGAAAAATCATCAAACAGGCCAAGGTTAAGATGCTTTTTGAAACCAGCGTTGGGATTTTATCTGCTGTACACAGACAAAAGGAAGGTTTAAGAAACATTTGTGAACACCCATCAGCGTGAATGACACCCAATTAAAACAAAGAGGTTTCATAAAACATGATAACCCATTTCCTCCAGTGGTTGAACCCCGTCATCGTGGATGAACTGCTTTGTAAGAGTGCTGTTGGAGTTGGGTCCACTGAGACAAACTCAGAGCAAAACTACACTCTCACTTCCACAGCTCCTCCGAGTAAATATTTAACAATAGCTAAAGAGCAGCCGTGCAACTGCTATTTTAATCCTCATACACTCCTGTGACAGATGATGGCTGTTAAGCTGAATTTATAAATAGAACTTCTTCTGTTATGAACTCCTTCTTTTCAAAGTCAGGGCGGCTTCAGTTGTATCTTATAACAATCCAATAAGCAATGAACACATTTCTCCAACATATAAAGAAGAGGAAAAAGAAGAGGACACCTTTTGTTTGACATACACATAAACATATTTCAGACTCGCTCTCTCTTACATCCTCAGCTTCTAGCAGCCCGGAGCCCTGCCCACTGTAGTCTCCACATACTGTGTCAACCACAGTGCCCGGACATGCAGACACCCACATGCAGAAGAGCTCCCAGGCCAGTGTCTAGGATTAGACTGCCATAATAACTATGCAACACAAACTCTAACCACTCCCTTACTTTAACCGTGCATGTTGAGGACGCCACTGATTTATTTAAGAGGTTGTATTTCAGCTCAGCTTAAATTTAGAAAGACCGTTGCAGTGAGCTTCTACGAGGAGACTGCATATTATTTTTTTCTCCTCTCTGAATGAGGGACAAGTGTGGCTTCAAATCATGCACAGATGTGCTGGTACTCTGCCACGCAAGAGGAGGAGAGTCAGAGCCTCTCCCAATCCATAGGCAGGCAGCAGAGATGGGAGGAAGCAGGGGAGCTGGAGTCGGAGCTCCATCTCCAAGTGCCTCTCATGCTGAGCCACACACACATACACATACACACACACACACACACACACACACATACATACACATACACATACACATACACATACACACACACATACACACACACATACACACACACACACACACACACACACACACACACACACACACACACACACACACACACACACACACACACACACACACACAGCCTCAGCAATAGCCGGGAGCTGAACCCAGCCATGCGTCTCAAAGCATTCACAGCCATGTGAAACAACATAATCTGACACTCCGGACCCCTGTTGTTCCCTGGGCCTTGCAAGACACTTCTTATGTAACCTATAGAGGAGTGGGAAAAAAGCTAAGCTGCAGTTTGATGTGGTTTGCAATTGACTCAATGTTCATTTCCATATTATGGAACATCCGCTGACCTTATCTGCTACCTCAATGCAAATGCACAAACCGGCCATAGGGTAAGCATGCAGCTATGCTGACAGTGTGTGTGGACACATCAGAGCAGTGTGCTTTGTATACTGTGGTAAAAATACTTCAATAATGGCGGTGAGAACAGCTGCGATATTCTGAGTGTCAGTGAAACAAAGTGAGAGCTCATGTTAAACTTGCACAATTATGTTTCCACACAGAGAGAGGAGAGAGAGTGTGTGTGTGTGTTTATCCCAAAAGCACTGCGCTCCTCAAGTACCGTGAACAGTCAGCAGCTTACGAATGCACAAACATAAGCAAAAACACACGCCTGTTTAATAATAATATTCCACAGTGATTAGACTGGTCTTACCTGCTCATAGTTTAGCCGCTGAGCCTCTGATATCTCTTTAGGCTTGGTTTCCAGAATGTAGTCTCCTGCAGAGTGACAGAAGGACAGAGGTGTTGGCAGATGTGTTGACTAATATTGTATTGACAGATCAAAACAATCACTACCTTGATTGTCACTGATTATCACAATGGCTTCATGGCTGAAGTGTTTGCATTAAAGGTGACAGATGTTTTGAGATGTTTTAAGTAGCCATTGGGGTGGGGTTTAGCACTGGCCAGCTGTTTCCCCAAGAAAAGGCTGTGCCAAATATGTAGGATCAGTCCAGTCCCTGTCCACTGCGCTGTCACCTGAGAGCGCCGTCATCTCGGCTCTGTAGCAGTGTGAGCTGCGGCGGACAGCACAGCCTGGCAGCTGTCTGGTTTCAGCTCCGTTCAGTCTGATCAGCACGAGAAAACATGCTTCTTTCTTATCATGAACATGTCTTTACAAATCAAATCTAGACCTTACACTACATCAGGGGTACGTGGTTATTTTTCAAGGCACATCATATACACTGCTGAACACGAGACCTCCAGCCAGATGTTTGTTTTAGATGTAGTGTGTTTGCCTCTCTTGTGAATGGTATATTTAGTTTATTTCATTTAAAGTATTTCACATAGACTGAGCAATGGCAGTTATGCACATATATTCTTGTTATTGCTGTTAAAAGTGTTCTTGCACTACACTCCTTACTTTTAAAACTCTTGTGTAAGTATTTTTCAAAACGCTTCACAGAGAATTATTAATTTATTAGGAACTGGCGAGAGTATCTTTCGCAGTGTCAACACATACTTTTCCTGAGAATTACTCCGAGGAATGCCATCGACCTCTTGTCATCAACAGCAACATTAAGTAAAAACAGCTACACATGGAGGAGAAAAAAACGCTTTCATATGTATTTTGCTCAAGCAAATAGAATGAATGGAATATATCCAGCACCCAAAAAAAAGAAAGGCACAATGATTTCTTCATGTGCATGCTGGGAGAAATAACTAAACTGGCCGATTTATGCTCAAAATACAGTTAATGTCACTTTAATTAGTACACAAACTTGTGCTTTACGAACTAAACTCAAACTCAAACTCACTGACTCTTTGAAGCTGTGTTTAAAAACTCTTATGACTTAATTTCTATGTCAACCCAGATGAAGATTGTAGAGCGAGCCAAGAATTTTTCTTGCGACGGGTCAGCCAGATGAGTGGTTTTACTACAGCATGTCCACAACAGGGAAAACCCCTCATTGCTCTGTACTCCGGTCAACTCGCTCATCTCCGGTCCTCGCCTTAATATCTACATCTGTGTCTGGATCCCTGACATGCTACACTGCTGAGCGGCTGATTGACGACCACCACACACTTTAAAACACCACATCTGAACTTCGTCGCCCATCATCAGCCCCTTGTAGTGCTTAGTTTAGAAGTTATCCAGCAGCCCCTGAACATTATACAACGTTAACTTTGTGTGATGTGATTACATGCATGCACAAGGTTGCACACAAGGCACTTTTGGAGAAAAACAGTCACAGCCAATCATTATTTAACTGTAATTTATAGAGAGATTATAGAGACTGAGCCATGATAGCCAACAGATACAATATAGTGCTGTAATGTGGATTATTTCAGTTTAGCTGAAAGAGAGGCCACTAGCAAGGGCTGGCTCTAACTCTGTTGAACCCCTGCTGTAATCAGACACTCTGTTTTGATATCGAGAGTCATTTTAGTTATGAAGGGCAGGAGACAGCCAGAAAGAAGAGATAGCTCCTGTTTCCTTTGCAACAGCAGAAGATTGGATCATGGGGAATTCCCCTGTTCTGGTCTCTTCCTCTGTTGACTCTGGAATATACATATATATATATATATATATATATATATATATATATATATATATATATATATACACATACATATATATATATCTGACCTTAAGAATGTAACCGCTCATTTGAGAAGATGCATGAAACACAAGAATGTTTACTAGGTGGGTGAAACTCGTGAAAGTACGGGCTAGTAAGTTTACAAGAGTGGGCTACCACTTACTCAAGATGATGTGACTCAGTAAATGCAGGCAAACATATTATTATTGTAATAAACTATTTTATTTTATTTTATTTTTTATCTTCTGCCAGTGATAAAAAAAAGGTTATTATTGTGCACATGATGGCAGGTGAAAAGAAGCCAAGCAGGGGAGAGCAGATTGGGTGAGAGAACATATAATCCTTATAACACGATGTTGTGTAATAGCTTTAATATCTACAAACACTCACCAAGATACTCCATCAGTTGCTCAGCAGTTATAATTTCCATCATAGGTGGCATCTTAACCTGCAACAGAGAGGCACCATACCCATTGTCAGCATTCAACGTGTACTGACGTGTTCATCATGTACTGACATCTTGAAATCAATTCATATATAATGCTGACATTGAGAAATCATACATGTCTTGACACAAATTAATTTCACAACGGGAAGTGCTGAGGGATAGAGGGGGGCACTGGGACTTGGTGGTAGATCTATTGTTAGATGCGCATATTAACCATTAGCAGGTCTTACTGCACACTGTAATCACATAACATGCTGATTGAGCTCAGAGCTATAGAAATGTGCCTATTTCTATTCGTTAAGAGTCAGGTTTCTATTAATCCATGCTCCATCTCAGAGCCTTTACCTTCCATGCGAGCAGAAGGACATTCATAATTGCCAGTAATGGACAGGGGCCGTTCTCGTTCTGGGTGATGATCGGCGTATTCTCCTCCCTCCATTTGATCCACTTAATGTGGTATATAGACTGGCCGGCGGCCCGGTCCTTAGCGCACGAAGTCTTTGTCCCATCAGCCCCGTACTCGTTCTGCAGGGCCAGGGCCAGTCCCCTGTCCTCCAGCCCCTCGCTGTTCAGGTCGGAGCTGGGGCAGGAGTTGAGGTTGGAGAAGGACTCGAGTGAATCTATGCTTCGGGACTCTCCACCGAGGCTGGGATCGGGGTCACTCCCACTCGGCAATCCCTCCGATAAGGTGTGATCACCGGACAGCCCCGACTTGACGTTTGCTGTGATTGCATTGTCCGGACACAGATGAGTCGGTTTGGCAAGTTTTGTGGATTCACTTTCTCCACGAGCCAAACCCGCATCCCGCACATCTGTGCTCTCCTTAGCGGGAGGTGAGGCCGGCCCGTCGGTTTTGTTGTTTACTAACTTTGAGGCACCACCCTCGCTATCTTCTGCAGCCAGCACCGAGTCATGCCCCATCCCGTTACTGATCTGGTCCCCGGACCCGGACCCCGACCACGACCCGCTCGCCGCGGTGTCCTTCTTGTTACCATCCTGCACGGAGAGGACTTCGATCGCTCCCGGTACGTCGGACTTCCCGGCAGTGGGAGTGACATTAACGGCGCTGGGAGCACTCACATTAGTGGTGCTGTTATTACAACTAACGTTAACCAAAGTACTGAGAGGAGCCTCACTATTCTTGCATTTCTCGGCTGTTCCTTTCACTCCGCCGACAGCCGTAACGTCGCCCATCTCTCCCGCGATCGTGGCACACAAAGAGCTCCCGTCAGTGTCTCGATGCAGGGTCGCATTTTTCTCCATTTCGATTTACAGACTGTCGACAGATTTTTAGCTAAATTGCAGCAGCAGCTTCGGTCCCAAAGACGCCATGACAACTCTGCGAGTGACGTCATCAGAGTGTATTGCTTTCAGGCCGAGCGAGGGGCGGGTAGGCCAGGCGGTGGTGCGTTTGAGTGCACTCGTATTAATTATTTATAGTTATGAATATCGCTCAGATTAAAAGATGGGACCCATCCTAGACCCAAGTAACTATATCTCTCATTAGGAGATTACAGTGAGTGTATACAGGGAACTAAACGGTTTTTTGTTTGGTTTTTTTAAATGCACTGGCTCAGAAACCTCATTAGGGTCACTAGGGTGTGTAGCTTGCTCCATCTTCATAGTTGAAGTTTCTCTTTTTTACGAGGACTCGTGAATGTAGCATGAACAGAACCTGCCGTGGCCGCCTTGTGTACGAGTGCTCGCCCGTTTGTGAGGCCGCACAAATCTCGCGTAGCCAGACCTCCGTGGTTGTACTACTGTCCGGATAAACGAGACTTCAGATACTACGCGACAGTTGACAGTAGGTAGGGTGTGAATTTGAACGTTCATTAATAAAAAAGAGTCTTTTTATTTCTGTAGTTGGGTACAAAAACCCAATCATCCCCTAATTTAAACATATCTAATTAATTGGTTCTAATTAATGCCCTCCTAAGCCTACTGCTTCCCCAGCCCTCTTTAACCATTCAGTTCTTCTAAAATAAAATATATTTTGGGGACTTCTTTCTCCAGACTTTCTTCCTTCGGCCTGTGTTTATTTCTGACAGGTCTGATCAGTCCACATGCAGTAACTGTTTACAGTCGCTGGGTGGCAGCAATTACTCAGCCGAGCATCCTCGCTCTTCACTGAACTTTACAGACATCAGACTGCATGGAAACCCTTCCTCCATCAAACATACCCCTAACTCTAACAATCTATAACCTATTTAAAGCCTTTTGATTAGTAGGGATGTTGTTTGGGTGAGTGCCACAGTGACAGATGTGCTACCAAAGAGAAAATAACTCTCCCCCCCCCTTTTTTTTTTTTAAAGAAACATATTTCATGTTATTTTTTGAATAGGGTTAGGTTTGATTCCTGACTCTCAATGACACCCTCAATGTATAAGATCTTGACAAGGATGCCTCAATGGTCCAAGTAGACCAACATGCAGGCCAACAATGCACCAGTCACAAGCATGATCTAGTACATGCAGCATCTGACCTGCTGTGGGTGCAGAAACAAACACCACCAAGTTGGTGAGGGAACCATAACCACATATATATTTATCATTGTGAAACCACATACCCAAACATAACCTACTGTGTGCCAGTTTGTGCTGCTGTGTTTGGTTGTTGTTAGTTGTACAGTTTTATTTGAGTGCTGTGGACAGACGTGACATAACTTTGTGGTTGGTACAGGAAACCAAACAGGAAATCAATACGCTTACATTTCTTTTAACATGTGTGATTGTTTTTTTTGACTGTCGTCAGCAGGTTGTTATTATGCATCACCTGCTCGTAATCATCATTGTTATACTTCTGCTGTCTGTTTACTCTGTACTTTATAACTTATTTTTATTTCTGAATAGCTTACTTCATTCAACTTCACCTTTGTTTTGCTTCTGTTTATTTACTGGAAGTCCACATATAGATTTAGGCTTTAAATTGTGAGTATTTTTCCCTAGTTTATTGTAACCCTTTTTCACAGGGCTGGCTTTACATGACAATAAATAGTCTAAAAACCAAATGTCTTTTATTGATAACTAAATAAAATATCCATTCTGTTTCTCAAACAAACTGATTCTGATGAGGAAAATAAAGTAAATAAAACAAGTATCTCACAGCTAATCTTTCCATTTATTTCATATAATTAATATATAGTAACATACTATATAAGACTATATAACTACTATATATTGAATATATCTTTCATATATTTAAACATATATCTATAACTATTTATCTATAACATTTCATACATGTATTACTCAATTTAGTTGCTTTTTCGAGATGATCATTGTTTTCCTCTTTTCTCAGAAGTAGACTTTTGTCCTCCATATGAACTAAAAAAAAAAACTCCTAAATAAAACCCGGAAGTCAGATGATTTGCGGAAGTAAACAACTTTTATAACTGCTCAATGAAAACAGCATCTAACCCGCGGGTTGAAGCTTGTTCTCCGAGAGACAATTTACACAGACATGTTTTGTTGTCCTTGTGTGAAACTGAATAGTGTCTTAGAAGTGACCCCCCCCCCCCACACACACCTATGACCACACTAGCAGAGGGATGGGTGTGTCCAAGCTCACTTGGCATAACACGCCGGAAGGGAGGAGGGCCTGTCTGTCTGCCTGTCTGTCTGTCTGTCTGTCGGTCTGTCGGTCTATCTGTCTGTCTGACAGACATTGGGCTGGTGGAGACAGGCAGCGCCGGTGTTTGTGATGGGAGCTCGCTAAAGTAGGAAGGGCGACTATACCTTTAAGTGAAAGAAAACGAAACAAGAAACAATCAGCGGTGTCGCTGGGTCGCTTAGCTAGTTCACTGGGGCTTACAGGGGCTTTCGATATGACATTTCTTAAACTAATTCTCATGTTTTGCTGCCTCCGAGATATTACAGGTAAGTTTACAATTGATTCCCAGCGAAAGGAAAGTGTTCAGTGATCGTCAGTGGAGCTAGCGCTAATCGGATCAGGCAGTTGTACTCGGGCTGTCTAACTTGCTAGCTAGCTGGCTAATGTTAATGGTAACAGTAAGGTTGGTGTTTGTGGCTGCTAACCTGTTTTTAACCTTATTAGAGTCTGTATCCAGGCCCGTGTCCGCTTAGTTACGTTTGAGTACACGAATAGATGATAATAATTAGTTTTAATAGTTCATGAGTTACAGTGCTAACGTCTACAAACGGGTCATTTTAATGGCGAGGATGTAATAAATGTCCTTTCAAAACAACGAGCTCAAGTTTATCTGCGCCGACAAATGTATGTGAACTAACTAGTGCTCTTAGCAAACAGGTTACTTTGTACCGACCTTCCAACATTCAAATCACTCACAAAAACACACCTTTTTAAAATTGCTTTTAATGTTTAGCTTAGTCTGATGTGTTTTTAATGTTTTACTATTTGATGTTGTTTTGCTGCTTTTATGTTTTTATGTAAAGTGTCTGAGTATTTAGAAAAGCGCTTATAAATAAAATGTATTATTATTATTATTATTATTATTATTATTAAGGAGATATACGATATGCTGCGATCCTGCAATAGTTGACAGTTATTGCATGTGTCAGAAGCAAAAATGTATAAGATAAATTGATCAAAATCTTAAACTGTTGACCTTTATTGACCCTAACTTAAAAGGACAACAGCAAAAAAACCAAAAAAGGATCCATAAGGTCAAGCAACTTATTGTCCTTTTCTCTGATCCTTCCGGAGATGAGTAACAAGTTGCTTTTATTGCGCTAATCTCACTAAAAGTTGCGTGTTAATCAAATTGCTTTTGTTGCTTTTACTTGGTGCTTGTCGCAATTTATCTACTTTACAAAAAGCGTGTCTAATGCTGAGCCTGCCTAAGATATTCTCTAACAATAATCATGATATCTAAGCGGTGCCAAATGTAACCTCTTTGAAGACTGTGTTGTGATGTCAGTTGTTCTAATCATACTTTCCACTTCTCAGTTAGTCACCATTAGTCAAAGAAACAGGGCAAAATATTCCATGTTGTGTAACTGATGAAAATGAAAGTTAATTAATTTAACGTAAAGATTAATTAATGCCTCGCTCTGATTTAAAATAAAATGTGTGTTGCTCAGGAATGTCATACTTTTATACAAGCTGAACACTTAAAGCTGAAAATGCTGGTTTAAACTATGTATGAGCAAACAATATGGTCATAAGAACGCGTTAAATACAGATATGTATAACCCTCAAGAAAACTGATGTTGCTGAGATATCTAAAAGGATGTCACTGAAAATGGCAGAGTGAGCCAAGACGGCGTTCAAAACAACGACAGGAAAACCAACTAGAAGCTTTTTTTTTATGCGTTTACAGAGCTGAACTGCTTATTTCATAGACCATACATCAATGGTCAAGCTTCATTTCTTAGTCTTCATTAAACATTGGTTAATGGATGCACTTTTTATAGAAAGGCTCCATGGTGTCAGAGTTAAGTGTGACTGACTTTGTCTTCCAGGAAAATACTGTTTTTATTGTTGGAACAATAAGAGTGCTCTTAAAATGTAATGTTTTTGACTTATGTTTACAAAAGCTTAAATATATGTCTTTGTTCACATGTTTTTTGATGATTATCATTTTGTCTGTTCATACACAAACTTCACTTAACTTACCTTCACTGTTGCCAAGATTGAGGCAGAGTGCCGTAACACCATCCTTGCATTAAACCCGGCATATCAGTAACCATAGCAAGTTCTTATGCAGTAGTTCCAGTTGAAGTGTGAACTTTAAGTGAAAAAGCCTTCCGTTTTTCTCAACTTTAACCTGACATATTTACATCTATTGACCAGACAGAAACATATGAGTGCTTTAGCTGCATCAAGGAGCCATGTGCACAAAAACAGAGACAAACCGTTTGTATACTCTCATGGGAGAGGAAGGGGGGGCAAAGGATGTCCTGTTCTGAACCTAAATTGCTACAAACACCTGGTAGCGTGCGTGGTTCCACTAAACAACACACTGTCTTAATATTTATGATCAATATGACAGACACGTTGGAAAAGCTGTGTGGTTAAATGTGAATTTTTAATCTTTTGCTTGTGAGCGCCAAACATTTCTAAAGAAGTCAGTGTTTCAGATAAACAAGGTTATCTCACTTTTGACACAGCTGCTGTTACTTGGCCTGTTTACGGTGATGGTACGTTGCAGGGAATTTTCTTCCTCCTTTTTGCAATAAAACATGGAATTTTGTTGTAGACAATCTTGGTCAGACTTGATGGTTGCAGGTTAGGACCAACCCTCTTACTGTTATTTTTCCAGTGCTGTATGATACATAATGTTGAGGAGAGACTTTTGAGTTGCCCTGAGCTGTTGGATGTCTGATGCGTTGTGTTAGCCAGCCTGCCATCACCCAGCATGCATGGTAATGCGAGGCTCAGATCCATGCTGTTACCACCTCCTCTGTTCCTGTCAGCGGTTTCCTCTCTGTCAAGAATTGCACTTCACTGGTGCACTGGAGGCTGAAACAGATTGCACTGAAATTATGATGACTTAGCCTTTACAGTGAAATTGACTGCCAGTTTTTGTTCAGCTATTGTTGCTGTCTAGAAATTTCATCTACCACCTCTTTAATGAGGTCATCTCTTTAGGCCAAAATAAAGTAGGATTGTTACGTTACTGTCAGGTCATGATTCAGTGTTTTTTCCTCAGTAGAGTGATGACATGGAGTGCCTCAGAAAGAGGGGTGAATGTAATAGAAAGCAGTTCAAAAGCATTAGTGAATAATTTAACACATTTATTAGACTGTTTAATTTTGATAAATGTTTAAAACAGGATAACTTTTATCTGTGATATTTTAAGATTTTCATCTCGATCATTTGTTTGTGTGAATTATAACTGCAATTTATATTTTTCTATTAGGCTATTTGACATTCAGATTGTAACCCTGGTAATGGTAGATGAGGTCAAACTGTGATGACTACAAAAATATGAATTTAAGGTGGCTTGTAGTCATTTTAAGTTTAGGGGTGGCAGTCCTTCGCCCTACAAAGTGAACGCTATGTTCAGAATGTTGTAGCTCCAGTTGAACCTCATGGTTGAGAGTTACTCCAACAGAGATGATGAAACAAGATCACTCATTCTGTATCTTCTTCATTTATCATATTCTTTATTTTATTATGTCATTTTAAGATTCTTTACTTTTTAGTATTAGCTAAGGCAGAGTTAACAAGGCATTTGCTAGGTTATCTTAAAACTGCTTGTTGTTGCTACATATGTACATATGACCCATGTATGACTCACACATGCTTATAGATTTGATTAGGGGTTGCAAAATTCCGGGAATTTTCAAAGCTGGAAACTTTCCATGGGAATTAACGGGAATTAATGGGAATAAACAGGATATTTTTAATATTGCTTGATATAATACTGTTAGTCTATAACAGGGAACTTACATGTAGTTGAAAAGAAACATCTTGCAGGATAATCTTGCTTAAAACAACCTGATTTAATGCAACTTCAGTTGAATGTCCTCCCTATATTCGTCAGTGACATGCACACACGCAGTAATCAGTATAGGTTTCTACATACTTGCCAACATTTATTTTTTAAAATATGGGAGTTCTTTTCTTTTTTTGGGGGGGGGGTGAATACATAACCCATTGCTATTAACCTATTTGGGTTAATTGTATTGTACGCATATAACCATAGCCATAGTAAATCAAAGGCAGCATGCTAGCTACCATCATATGTTAAGCTAAAGGTCAATGGTTTGGGCTACTACTTATGGTGCTATCCATTGGTCTCGTAAATCCCCCGCCCGAGTTGCTCTGACGCGAGAACGTGACGTAATTGCCTGGTTTGTACCACTTATAGCGTTCCATTTGTCTTTGGACATTACGAGTCGGAAAGAACTTGGACGCCACCAGTACAGCAGCTGTGTTATTATTGCTTGTGGCTCATCTAAACAAGCTCAATGTGAAATAATAACATGTTTTTCTACAGAAACACTAACATTTCAAGTAATTCCATTATTGCAAGTCTTACATTTCAATAATATTTTGCCATTTTCGCCTATATCAATGTTTCCAAAATTCCCCAGTTTCTGGAAATTTACCGGAAAATGTTCGCCCCTTTGCAACCCTAGATGTGATGTACATATAAGTCACCATAAGTCAACTGCCTCAAGAAGACGTTAAAACTCTGTTTTGGCCAGTGTTGGCCACTGTGAAATAGGGAGGCACCAATGCAGTATTGAGTCTGATACTGTTTTCACATACTCATAATTGTAATCAAAAAACTACTATATTACTACTACTATATGATATTACTGTACGTTGTGTGTGTGACGTTAACTCCCATTAGTTGAGCTGGTAGGCATTGGAGAAGCAATGTCAGCAGTTTGGAGATATATTAAGCAACTTTTTAGCCACATTGAATTTACTATAGTCAGAACGTTTAATGGTATTATTAAGATAAGATATTATTAAATACTCTGTATTGGCAAGTACCCAAATGTAAGTACTTGTACTTGGTCTAATATTAAAATACATGTCAATGATGATTTTATCATCTACTTAACCAGTGTCAGACTTTCACTTCAGCATGTAAAACAACATTACTCTATATGTATGTTTATTATGATATTTTTTGTTATTTTCTGACTGACTTCTGTGTCAGAGTATTCCAGTTTTCATTGGAGTAACCCAGCTAGCACATTTAGTTTACCAAAATCAGCGGGGGCTGTGAGGACTTACTGTGTCTTAAACCAGCGTGTCATTTACATGCTCAACAAACGAGTTACTCCGGTACATCTGAAAAAAACCAGGATGCTACTGTGTATGTAGAGGTACTCTATTATTAGAGGACAAATTCTACTCTAGTTACTACAGTCTTAAATGTAATACCTTTGCTTCTTTTTTAATGTTTTTATGTGACCAGAAATGTCAGACTTAATGCAAAATTATTATGTGTGACCTATGTGTGACTGTCTGTTGATAAATCAGTGTTGTGGTGTCATATTATTACATCTTAATAGAGTTGTCATGTCCTACTGAGAAGGCCGATCTGGGCAATCTGAGCTGGCAGTGTTTGTTTTTGTACAGAATCAACAATCCCTGATTAATTACAGCCTTGCTATCTCACCCCGAAGCCCATCTTGTTGATTTTGTGGATGGTTGTTGTTTTAGTCCAGTGTGCTGTCATTATTTTCATTTCGAAGAAGGGCTAAAGAAGCTGATTGTTGGAATATTTTCTAGCTGCATTCATGGACAAGTTGCTACTAGCCTGCTATAGCCTCTCCCTGTGGAAACCACATGGAAGCCCTATAATAATGAACAAGCAGTGCAGGGTACAGGCATGGTGGAACTGGAGCATATCCCTTTTGGCCTTTGATAGTCTCTTAGTATTGTGTATTTTTCTACGGTCTTTGACTACAAGACCTCAGTGTCAGTCGCAACTCTTTAAATGGAGCCCTTACTAATAAACCTTCTCTCCAAAGGTTGCTTTTGTAGCTTACAGAGGTTTTTGACCCAAAACTTTGACAGATATTTAGATAGTAGCATACTGTGTTGCCTTAGGAATGCAGATTAGCATTTAAACAGCCTGCAACTAATTCAGTCATTGTTCTCGCACAAAGACATACAGTAGTACTGAAACAGGACCTCAGTCACCTGACGTGCATCATGTGCTCCTCTCTTGTGCTTTAAATGGACTTTCTTTGTCTTTGTGAAAAGAATAAAGAAATGGTCAGTATGAAAGCCAGCAGGATTACCTATGGGGGTCACACCAATAAGCTGAATAAGCCTGTTAACCACATTTACTGAGTGACCGCTTGTACGATAGCTGGCCACTATTACAGAGATTCATCCCTGTTTTCCTAACCAGGCTCCATAGGCCTTTAGTACTGATGGCTGGATTCCATTTAGCTGTTTCAGTTTCAGCATCCTGGTATAGTACATGCTGTCTCACTGTCATGGCTTACTGGGACACTTGACTAGAACAGAGCCATTGTTAATATAACCTGAGCTTTTCCCACGATGAGTCAAAATGTCTGAGAAAAAGGCTGTTTACTCATAGGGATGTGCAGTGTCTTCTTGCATGTGTGTTTTTTTTTTTTAGAAAAAGCTCATGTAAAAAAGCTGTGATATAGACTCTTTACAACGAAATGTGCTAGTTAGTGTAGTGTTATTCCTATAGTTATAAACAAGATTTTCCAAAATGTTGACTGTTTCTTGAATTTGTGTCAGTCAAATTCCAAGATGGATAAATGTTCATTCTAATAACAGAACCAGGAGTCATAGTAAAATATCAAAGCTAAATGTTGGCTTTGCAGCAAATGTTTGTTGACAAATATTGATGAGCCATTTCTTCTCTTCCAGGTCAGTTTGGAAAACCCTTGAACAAATATATTCGCCATTATGAGGGTTTATCATATGACACAGAAGCCCTGCACAACAGTCACCAGAGAGCTAAGAGGGCACTCTCTCCTCAAGACAGGACCGTGCACCTGGACTTTCATGCACATGGCAGGTCAGTTTTCATCAGTTCCCATAGTGCCGTTAGATGTGACATATGAGGTCATTTAAGACTTGGTCTGATAAAAAGAACTGTAACCAAAGACAAAATAAAGGTTACTATAATACTGGACTTTAAAGTCCTGTTATGGAGAAAGTTCCTGCTGTTTCCTTTGCATTAGATAAGACGTGTGAACATTTAATTAATCCTAGAAATTTGAGGGATTGATCTTGTGTTTTCTATGTTTTATACCTGTTACAAAAGACACATGCTGCTGTGGTGCATGCTTCTACAAGTGGCAACATTGTGGTTATTCAAAAATCGAAAAAGATGAGACTCACCACATTATTGCTGTAATTGAAACTTTATCTTTTTACATAGAATTCAAGATGAGCCCTTGTCAAGGCCAAGTTGTCTCAGTACAGTGGTACCACCCTTGTTTTGGAAACAGAGTATTTCAGGCAATAACACTGTATAATGTTCTCAGATTTGTATCAGCTGAGCTCTTGTCACTTGGTATAAAGTGACAGCAGACTGCAGCAGAATATGTACGATTAAAACATTTCAAAATAAATGTTTCAATAGTGAAACAAGTGAAATTTCATTAGAGGCTTTGAGTGTGTAAACTGACGCTTCAATAAGTCATTCGAGACTCTTCTACATCTGGCCATTTTGCACACGCTTCCTAACAGTAATTGTAAGAGCATAGGAAATGTGGACTAGCTGGCTTGCCTTGACTCAGTAACAATAGAAGTTTGTTTGTTGCTGCCTTTAATTTGTACATGAATGTCACCTCTTCAGTATCCACACATACTTTCTATTCCTACTAATGAGAGATGTCTTTCCAGTTGCCCCTTTCTGTCTCACTATCATTTCTATCTGCTTCTCCCTTTTAACCTTTTTCAGTTTTTGCCAAGTTAAAGGGTGTAACAATGATTTATCTCAGCAGCACTGTTTTTCCGAGCTTCCCCTGCTTTCCTCTTCACCAAGCCTGTCTGTTGTGGGCTATCAAGGCCCTGTCCAACAGATCCTTTTCCTCTGTTTTTGTGCTCTTTCCTGTCATTGCTTACCTCTGAGGTGCTGCATTTATTGGCTAGACACAGTGTCATGCAGCATGATCATTTTCAATGTCTGAGTAGTCTGTTGTCTAAAGAGGACATAAACAACCTTATGTGGAGGACATTGAATTGGACATGATTTGCAGTTTAATGTAGAATTTAATGTAGGATGGACCTGCAGTCTGTCTACTGCAAACAAACTCTCCTGGATGCTAGTAGCTGAGGAAAAAAGCAGTTGTACAGCACAAACCATGACGTGTAGTGGAGCAGGCCAGACATTTTCAATAGTACTCAAGTCCAGTTCACTGAACAGGAAAAGAGTATGCAATGAGAGATTTATGAACAGTTTGGACAACCGGTATGTGGTATGTGGAAGGAATAATGAGGAAGTGTCAAACTATTGCTAGTTACATAGTACCATAATAATCTGTCTGGATGTAACATGTAACTGAACATGGCTGTTATATTTGTGTTTTGTTTTGTGGTAGAGGAAGGAAGATGTTTAGCTTATTATTGGCTCCAGGTATAAATGGTCCAGTTCTCTGCAGCATCACAGACACAATATTGTATACCTTTGTGCGAACTAATACAAGAAAATATCATAGTCTTGAAACAAATATCTTCTGTGTAATGCTTACAGTCAATTTCTATTATTTTGTAATTTGTCAGGGAGATTTTGATTCAACTCTGTGGTTAAAGCTAGTATCTTACTCTTTATGTTCTCCCTGAATTCATTGGGTTTACTAGTGTGTGCAGCGTTTGCCAGACACACACTCTCCCTTCTGTTAAAGACAGGGCAGTGTGGCACTATAGAGGTTTGTTGTAACAAGAGAAAAGCCTTCTTGTGTATGCCCGCTCACATGGAGGACTTGTGGCTGGATCAGGTGACGGGAAAAGGCATGGCAAACAGTTGTATCTGTGGAGGGCTTCTTTACAAAACAGAGGTGCCAAATGAATAGTCAGCGGTTGGCTTTTATGCAATGCTAGGGGGATGTTACACCAGCTTTCCAAGAATAAGACTCATTTGTGAGATGTGTTTTTCCCCTTTGTAAGACATAAGATGGTTATCAAAGTTCAGTAGTGTTCAGAGGCCCAGGTTCATGTAACAGGCTTTGTAATATTCTTACTGATTTTGAAATGTAATCATCACTCGCATAATAAGCAATCACACGCACAGAAACTAATCTGTTCGCTGATCACAACCATATTACACATTACAAGAATAAAAAAGGAGGGATCATACACCAAGTTTCTCACCTGGTCTGTCTATTCAAGAAACAAAAATATTTAACTGGTTTGAAATGAGGGAGAAATTAGGCAGTTCTATGGTATTCAAACAAAGTTCATTAATAACTTGCTTAGCAGGTTAAAAGTACCAACTTAGGTAGTTATAATTTTGTTAATAAATACAAGGTATTAAGGATGTGCTAGTGCTACAACCTTCCCTTCTTCAATAATAAAAGGAGAGTACTGAAGCACATCTCAACAGCTATGTACTAAAGGTGCAATGAACAAATATTTCAACACAAATGTGTCTCCTTCAAATTAAAAATATATATCAACGTAAACGTGCATTGTGGTAGAGCTAGCAGCTAGTGACTATAGGACTCCTACCTTCCTGCCTGGCTGTGAAACTTTTATAACTCTTCAGGTAAAGAAGACATACCTTGGCTTTTCTAAATTTTGCACATTGCAAAAAGTTGGACAATGAACATGCAAAGCAAGGAAAAGGAGGGTGCTCCTCCAGAGCATGTAAACATGTAATAAGTACTGTAGATATTTGCCCCTTTGTAGCCAGACCATCTCTGTAGACTTGATAGCACTCCCATTTATTTGAGCCGGCCTGCTTACTGAGCAAAATGTATGACTGTCAGTTGCTTGAGTCAGTATGTTCAGCATTTGCAATATGTCTGAATAATTTACCAGGCAGCTGCTTCTGTGAGATGAATAACACAGACTTCTTAGACACTTCGTCTACGTCCTCTCCTCTTCCTGTCTGTTGCAAGCCATGTTTATTTGTCAGCAAGTTTTTGTCTGAAACGTGATGCAGTGACTTTCTTTCTGTTTCAGTAATTTTGAATTTCCCAGTGATTCTTGGTGTTAAGTTATTAATATCAATTATATTTATTTTTAATATTCTCTTAATTTTAATCCACTGTCCACTCTTACGTGACTGGTTATTTTTGGGAAATTACCTTTCAATTAGTTTTGTGTTCCTTCATAATATTTTGCAGAACTTCACATACCTTGCCCATCCCTCTGATCTATAGAGAAAGACTGAGCTGTATTATGATGTAGTATAATGTTTTATGTAGTAGACTGCCACTAGCGGTGACTTCTGCATAGCTCTGATTATGACGTACAATGTTACTGACTTTCATTGTCCTCAGTTATTTGGAAGTTGTTATGAAGAAGGAAGCAGGTGATCAAATATGCAAAAAGTTGCACCGTGCAGTTTTAAAGCCTCTTGGTAAAAATGTGCTATATAGAGTGCTTCTTGATCATTGATGTCTTTACTCTGTCAAAATTCTTCTAGAAAAAGTGCCTTCATGGACAGTAAAACAGTTGTTAATAATAAAAGTTCAAAATGCCTTTGCAGATTCCTCATATTGCAGATTCAATTTCAAATAGAATAATCTACTTATTGCTTCATCTGCATCTGTGACCAGTGTGCCATGGTGGTATCATGGGCCAAATGAGCTTTTGATCGGGCATAGATGAAGTCCTGAGGTCATATTGATTGTTGTAGTCCATTATAAGGTGGGGAAAGGCCAAGCACTGTAATGGGTGTGCCAGGATGAATAACAAGCAGAGGAATTTATCCCAAATCTATTGCCAGATGATCCCTGTGTCACAATGCTGACTAAAAGAGTGGGTCATATTGCAGTCTTTGTTCCACATGTTTGATAGTTCTCTCTTTTATGTTTAAAGTCTTTTTTTGTTTTTTCTGGTTCCCTTCTCTTGACTTAATTTGAAATGTTCTGGCAGAAGTCTCCTACTTCAGAATACAGATCACACCATGTTAAACTGCTTAAAATACGAGCAAATCCACTTGATCCTTTTAACTTAACAACAAACCCATGCCTAGATACATAAAAATGGAATATTGGTGATCATATATGACTTTACCATAATAAAATTGAAAAAAATCAAAGTAAAGGAATCCAGTGTTAATTAATCTTGCATGTTGAGGGGAATGGAAGAAATGAATGGAAGATATTGTAACTGCAACAAAAAGAGATGTGTGCAAAATGAGAACAGGGAATGTGGGGTCCTATCATGGAGTTATCCTGTTCAGGGATATCCTGGTCTGTGTCTGACCTTTTTCAACGTTATCTACTACCTCGCTCTCCCAAACATTTTCTGTTCGGTTCCTCCCCACATTCAGTCTGTCTCTTGTGCTCAGCTTTTCTTGGGTGGAATTCATTTCCTACTTTTTCCTGCACTGAATAAAGTGTGCCTTTACATCCTTAGTCTCTGTTCTCCTTTGCAAAAGAATCTGTGGTTAAAGTAGACGACAATGGTGTGCCAGATGGAAATAACCTTATACTTTTGGTCAGACCCCCACATTCTACACACCACCGATTATACATATTTCATACATACATATACATAAAGGCCATTTTACTTGTCACAGGGAGTGCCACGCTGTAACCTTGCCGATGACATCACATTATCTAAGCTTGGGCTTGGAGACTAAAAATGTGCAACAGATAGGCTGCAGGAGTTTAAATTACATAGGCATTTACCAGGCTGGGGTAAAATGTATTATTGGTTGTGTTTTGGGAAATGTAGGATCCAATGTTTTGGGAGCTTGACCCATACTATGGACCAAAATCAATACGGAAATGATTAAAAACAGAGGAAGTGACTACACTGATATGCTTCCTGACTAATGTATTCCTGTCTGATGATACCTAATCTCGGGTTGAGGCTACTAACCTGTATATGAAAGGACATGTGATTTGAATCATTTTGAAATGTTCTTTGCCTTGTTGAAGATTGCATTAACATACAAATCAACAATAGTACCATTCATAAATGGCTCAGTATGGGGTAGTAATGTGAACATCATTTGAGTCATCTGGAAGAAGCTTCACACCTTGAGACCAAACCATGTGATTTATAAAGATCTTTCTGGTGAGGAGTATTCCTCTGATCTACATTTCCTCCGGTTTCTGGGAAGCCAGTGACTCATGTGAACCTCATGTGATGCTTACCTTTCTGTCTTTGACATCACATTTATGTTAATGAGAGGATTACAAAAAAAGTACTGTGCGCAAATCTTCACATGCTTTTCCTCATGGCATAATTCTTCTTCTGACTCACTGAGCACAGCAGTACTGTGCAACAATCAGCACTGCAGCACTAAAAAGTAGAGCTCTTTTCTGAGAACATGACATAAACAGAGGAAGGGTTGAGGGTTTGAAACTGTCACGTTTCCCACAAGTCAGTGTGTCAGAGTTTCTGTTTGATATTTAATGCTCATTCTAATAAGACATTTTCTCCTATTCTTCTCTTTAGACATTTTAACTTGCGGATGAAGAGAGATACAAAGCTGTTTCATCCAGATGTCGTCATTGAGGTATCAGGAGAGCAGGGACCCATTGATACATCACATATTTACAGTGGAGAAATCTTTGGTAAGTCCAGCTGTTTCCATGGTTTTCCATTAAATTGAATGTCTGCATCATTGTATCATCCCAACATTATCCCTTATATACTCTTGAGTCCTGAGTGTTGGTCAGTGTTTTCATCTACTGCTATACTATGTTTATATGGTCGAAGTTTGGGTGCATTAGGGAATAGTGTGTGTGTGTGTGTGTGAGTGTGTGAGTGTGTGTGTGAGTGTGTGTGTGTGTGTGTGAGTGTGTGTGTGTGTGTGTGTGTGTGTGTGTGTGTGTGTGTGTGTGTGTGTGTGTGTGTGTGTGTGTGTGTGTGTGTGAGTGTGTGTGTGTGTGTGAGTGTGAGTGTGAGTGTGTGTGTGTGTGTGTGTGTCCAGTTCTTCCTTCCGCTGGTTATCCCTCCCTTGACTTCTTCCTGCTTGCTGAGCAGCAGAGTTCAAATGAACAAGAGAAAAACATGGATGTTTGTTTCACACACACCAATCACAACATAACAAAGACAAAGGGGACAGATAAAATTAATATTATTCTTATTGAAGGAAAAGTGTCCCTAATCTCAGCTGTGAAAATTATTAGTTTAGTTTTTGATATTTCACGGGAGACATTTCACAAGTGCTTGTAATCATAATGTGGCACCAGTACATTACTGCTTGAGCTGTGTAATCCTAATTAATTGTCCAAATTCCTCATATTTGGGAATGCTACAGATTTTAGATCAATTAAGTTTGTAATTAACCAAACACCTTAAGATTTATTTAATGCAATTATACCACCGTACTGCAGTCAGCAGTCTCTGTGACAACAGCCTGGATTAGATATTTTTCACCTCTTGTGGTAGTAAATTCTTGATGTGTCCAGAAGCCATGCCTTTGTGCATTAAACTCTTTTTATTTTATCACAAAAGGTACATAAATATTGCTGTAACCACAAGCATTATTTAAACTTGTAACAGAGTTGTCATCTTCCATGCAAATACCACCATCTAGATGAATAGAGAGAGAGAGATACTTTTTTTTTTTTTTTAATTTATTTTTTTGGCCTTTTATTGCCTTTATTGATAGTGACAGCTGAAGATAGACAGGAAAGGGGGGTAGAGAGAGGGGATGACACGCAGCAAAGGGCCGCAGGTCGGATTTGAACCCTGGGTTGCTGCAGCAACTCCGTACATGGTCCCCAGCTCTACCAGGTGAGCTAACCGGCGCCCCGAGATAGAGATACTTTATTGATCCCTGGGGGGGAAATTAAGGCGTTACAGCAGTTCACATTCAAACAATAACAGTAAAGAAGAAGGTCACAGAGTCAAATCTATTTGGTCGAATTGACAAAACAATTAAACTGAATGAATATTTAGACCAGTGGTTTTTCATTGTATAGTCAGTGTGGAAAACATATTACTCTGATATTCAGTTGAAATAATTAACTTTCTTTAGACAAAGACTGTGTTTTGTCTGCCTCTGATCATCCTCGTCCTCTGTTTTGTGTTTCAGGTGAAAAGGACACTCTGACCCACGGCTCCGTGGTTGATGGGCGCTTTGAGGGATTCATTAAAACCCACCAAGGCACATACTATGTTGAACCCTCAGAGAGGTACCTCAAGGACAACAATGTTCCCTTCCACTCCATCATGTATCATGAGGATGACATCAGTAAGTATCTGCCATTGCACTTGCTTTATCCAAAGGCTCTGTATGGTCTAGAGGTAGTTCCAAATCCACATAATTTGCACACTTGTAGTGAAAGGTTGTGTCTTTCTTGCCTTTAGATATGCCACAGACATGTGTTTTGCTAGTTGTAGTACAAATACTTTTAACAGGAGCCTTTTGAAATGGATCTATGTAGGAATGTTTTGTCTGACGATTAAGAAAACTGAAGATTCTTACCTGACTTCTTCTATGCTGCTTAGAAATGGAGATGATATATTAGAAAATTACTACTTTAGGAAGGGTAATTTTGAGCAAAACATTGCTTTTGCACTATGAAGAATAAAGTTGTGATGTATTGGTTTGGCAAGTGTGGGCTAATGGTTAACTGATGGTAAAGCAGTTGATAGACAAGGCCTGCTAAGCTTGGAGAGAAGGGTATGTTTGACAGACTGGTAGCAGCAGGACTTGGCTCTGGGGCCTGGGCCACAGACAAGGTGGTCAGCATTTATTGGAGGCTGGAGTGGAGCACGACACAGCATAAGCGTGACTCATAGCCATTCCTAAAGTCAGACTACAACCAAATGACAGATGCTCCATTATATTAATAGGAAACTGCAGGTTTCCCAATGTTTTCCTCAGAAACAGACAACTCTGAAAATGTTTCGAAGTAATTAATAGAATCAGACAGGCAAGTTGTGGTTGTGGGTGCAAACACTGCATGAGTAGGAACATTATCCAGTGACTTTTGACTCACAATTCCAGCCCCAAAGAACAGCATTTAACAAACAGGGAGTGAGTCTGATATGAACCCCGCCCTGGCTTCAGGCTGGAAAATATTGTGCCAGAGGTTTTTGGTCTGTGATTAATGAATTTCCTGTCATCCTGCATGCATTTTCGCGTACAGTGAAGGCAAGATTTTCAGATGGTCCCTGCTAACATCTACACTAAATGTGCGGTCAGTCATGGAGAAAGATTTTATTTGTTGACTTTATTGTTGAATCTCATTCCCAGGTCATTATTTCCAAGCCACTTTCCCATTTACCGATCCAAAACTTCGGTATTTGACAACCTCGGAATGAGACTCAGCAATCAGCTATCTTTCTCTGGAAACAG